TCAGCCTTCACATTTTTCCTGGGGAACCGCCTTAGAAGGTTCTTAACAATAAATTGCCTATACGAACCCGGTCAGCCTTCACATTTACCTAGGAACCGCCTATACGAACCCTGTCAGCCTTCACATTTTACCTAGGAACCGCCTCAGAAGGTTCTGAACAATAAACCGCCTATACGAACCTGGTTAGCCTTCACACTTTACCTAGGAACCGCCTCAGAAGGTTCTGAATAATAAACCGCCTATACGAACCCGGTTAGCCTTCACATTTTACCTGGGAACCGCCTCAGAAGGTTCTGTAAAATAAATCGCCTATACGAACCCGGTCAGCCTTCACATTTTACCTGGGAACAGCCTCAGAAGGTTCTGAACAATAAACCGCCTATACGAACCCGATCACACGACGTCACATTTTACCGGTACTCAATCACACATGGCAAGCCTTCACATTTTACCGGTTCTCAATAACACATGGCAAGCCTTCAACCCTTCTCAGTCACATGACGTCACATTTTACCAATTCGCAATCACACATGGCAAGCCTTCACATTTTACCGGTTCTCAATCACACATGGCAAACCTTCAACCCTTACCGGTTCTTAATCACACATGGCAAGCCATCACATTTTACCGGTTCTCAATCACACATGGCAAGCCTTCAACCCTTCTCAATCACACGTGGCAAGCCTTCAATCCCACAACATCGCAGCCCCGTGTTTTCACGCGTGCGTTTAATGAGGTACAACAAAACCATTTACATCACTAATTTTGATACTCATTCTTGGATGTGGGATAATTCCCACAAGGTGCATTAAATTAAAATAAACGTAGAATAAGTAATCATTACTATGGAAAATTAATATACTTGCCATGGTGTGGCTTTATGGTTATTGCTTCCTCTTAGTTGAAGAACATCTCCGGTTTGAACCCCAGCTTGGGCGCACCACATTATTTATTTTTTTTGTAAAAAAAAAATAATAATAAGCAGAAAATAATGTTGTTAAAAGAAAAAATATTCCATTTGAAATTCTCTCTTTCTATTAACAATCTTTTTTACTAAATTTATTATAGGATCTAAAAAATTAAAATTTTGAAAAATTAAAGTGTTGTTTCGAAAATTGATATGCATTCGAATAATTTTTATATTGATAACCAAATTTTAAATTTATCTATTAATTTTTGCATTATAAATCATGTAACATACTATTTTTATTATAAAAAAATAAGCAGAAAATAATGTTGTTAAAGAAAAATTATTCCATTTGAAATTCTATCTTTCTATTAATAATATTTTTTACTAAATTATTCTAGAATCTAAAAAATTAAAATTTTGAAAAATTGAAGTGTTATTTCAAGAATTGATACGCATTCAAATAATTTCTGTATTGATAATAAAATTTTTATTTTATTTAGTAATTTTTGCATTATAAATCATGTAACGTACTATTTTTCTTTCAGCTCTCAATAATACATTTTAAATTAGATGATATTATAAAATATTTTGGATTTGTCATTGTTTGTATAATAAAATAATTATAAAATGTTAATCAACAATTTTAATTTCAGTATATAATATTATAGTCAGTTAGGTTGTAATAATTTTGAATTATAGTTAGGTTGTAATAATTTGGGTATTTTTAGCGGATTAGGGTTTTCCGTCAGTTCGAGATTTTATTGACCATTTTTTCATCGATTTAGTCTATTCTTTATTGTAGTCTATCTATGATTGACATACTTTATCCATGAAAATTCTATGATTTTTCTTTTGTATGATGTAAATTTAATGGTTAACATAAGTTTATACAGGGAAAAAAGGTCTCAATATTCACAAATTGATGAAAAAAATGAAAGCTAACAATGTAGTGCCCTCGTTTCTTATTGGATTCCTAAAAGATAACATTTATAATGAATTTTAATAATATTTTTGGATTTTTTTAAAGCTTAATCCGACCGAGTCGGACGGTTCCCGCTCCGGATCGCCGATTCACCTATCCGGATGGGTTTTTGGAGTGCCCGATCCAAGGCAC